TAAGGTTTTATAGGAATTTCAAATTACTAGGACAATGAAGACCAAAGAATTACATGTAAAATTTTAAATGAATGGAAATATGTTTCACATTAGAATTGGTGTCCCCTAATGATGAACCAGGAGCTCTGGTAGCATAGTGGCTAAAGCACTTGACTGCTAACCAGAAGGCTGGTGGTTCAAACCCACCAGCCACTCCTCGGAAGGAAGGTTGGGCAATCCTACTTCTGTAGTGATACTGCCTCGGAAACCCAAGGAGGGGTCGCTATGAGTCGGGGCCGACTCGATGGCACATAACAACAACAACAACAACAAAATGATGAACCAGTCAACTTCTAAGGAAAGCTGTTAGGGTTTCCCAATTTCTTGTGACCCAACAGAGAATATTAATCACATGGATGTCATATACCTGATCTGATGTGGCCAATAACATAGACAAGTGGTTGGGTTTGGACTGAGCATTTATGGTTATTTTGGTTGTACAATTTGACCCTGGTTAATTGAAATAGTATATTGGTAATTCTAAAACCAGTAGTCAAGTTAATAAGCACCTTCTTTGTACAAAAAGCAAAGTAATACACAACCTGTTCTATTGCTCTGGGAAATATAGAGCAAGAAAAAGTATATTCTCTATGTGCACAGATTGAAAATCTGCATAGACAAGGCATAAACCCTTAAAAGCCAAATAAAATTATATTCAAATATGTAGGAGGTATTGCAACACAATACAGATTTATACATAATTGAGGAATAGAAACACTTGATATAACATGTAGGACCCACTCTCATAGTTTTCCTATCCCCAGAGAGCTTCCTGAAACTTCCCCTCAGAAAACATATCTACTGTAAATAAATGAAAGTAATATAAAAATAATCTAAACGCAGTCCAAATTTTTAAATGAAACATTAGTGTTTTACCTAATATTACTAAGACATTATTCATGTCACACATCTCCAACTACTAATGAGCTACTGGTTCTTGTCATTTTCATGGTTATTATTGATCTGCATTGTCCAATAATGAAGGAGCTCTGGTGGCAGAGTGAATAAAGCACTTGACTGCTAATTGGAAGGTCAGTGGTTCAAACCCACCAGCTGCTCCATGGAAGGAAGATGAGGCGATCTACTTCTGTAAAGATTTACAGTCTTGGAAACCCAATGGGTGTTGCTGTGAGTCAGAAATGACTCAATGGCAGTGACTTTGGTTTTTGGTTTTGTCCGATAATGTAGCCACTAACTATTGAGCATTTGAAATCTGACAACTCTGAATTGAAATATGCCATAAGTGTAAAATACACAGTGATTTTTGAAGACTTCATATAAAAAAATGAATCCAAAATATTTGAATAGTTTTATAATCACTGTTGTTGTTGTTGTTGTTGTTGTTATGTGCCGTCGAGTCGGCCCCGACTCATAGCGACCCCTCCTTGGGTTTCCGAGGCAGTATCACTACGGAAGTAGGATTGCCCAACTTCCACTGGACATAGTTAAATACATAATTAAAATAAACTTTACTTCTTTTTTAATTTTCAAAATGGCAAACAGAACTTTTTAAATTCTGTAATATGGTTGGCATTATATTTCTATTGGGAAATCCATTTTATAGATAAAAAGAGACTTTTGCATTCAGAGGAAAAACTTTGATATAAGGTGACACAATTTTAGGGAAGTATCCATGTGAAAGGGGTCTTGTTTTAAAATATACCCTAACATCCCATCATTCAGCCCCTTCTTGTATACTTCCAGTGATGGGAAACTCACTACTTTAAAATTAGTACATTTTATGAAAAAAGAAAAAAAAAACTGTCAACAGTAATTGTTTGTCCTTTATTAACCTAAAATTCAGGTTCTAAATAATACCTACTCATTGATTCTTATTATTCACCTCACATCTACACATAATAATTCAAATCCCTACTCTGCATAATGGTCTTTTTAACAGTGTAGTCTTTGTTCCAGAAAGCTGGACCCTAATCATCCTGCTAATGAAGGCTAATTTTGCTTGAATAATTAGTTATTCATCTTGTAACAGTATCTCCTAATGTTTATTTGTATCTGCTTATTTTATTATTGTACCTAGTGATACTATGTTGTTGCTAGCATTTGTCCAGAAGTTAATAATATATTCAGATGTGGAATGCTGAAAAGTCAGTAAAATGGTGTTATTTAAAATTCCAAATAATTCAAGGGCTCGTTGAAATATTCATTTTGCTTCTTTAGTAATTAGTTATAAACCAAGTTATTTTTTTTAGGAAATATTTATTTATGGAGTTCCTACTATGTTTCAGGAATGACTCTAGGTTAAGCAAGGCAGATTCCTCACCATCATGGAGTGTTCAATGAACTCATCCCTTTGACTTTGTGCTTTGTACGCGTGCCTTTTTTGTGTTGCCAATTAAGCTAATGATGGAAATATTAAACAAGACAGAACAAGTAGAAAGCCTTTTGGCATCCACCTTGTCACTACCCTCAACAGTGGTCCAGACTAATTAATCAGAAATTTTGTTATTCAGAATGATACAACATTGTCCAATTAAAGGCTCAATTTCTCCATGTTCAACATTCACATTTCATGATTTTGTGACTTTGGTAAAACAAAGACTTAGGATTTCATATAGCATGTATTTTAACCTTCATAAACCATATTCTTTTAAAAGAAGAAACTTTTGAACTGGGCCGATGGATGGGTATGAATTTGAGAGAACATAATAAAAGCCAAGATTTATCGCTCATTTATTATTTGCTGGACAGATGAGTAAGATATTGACAGAAATTAATATTATCCAGCATTTATTATATACCAGACACCATTCTGACATCTTTGAGCCTCATAACAGCCATATGAGGTAGGTATTTTTCTGCCCATTGTAAAAGTAAAGAAACTGAGGCTGAGAGATGTTAAGTAAATTTTTCAATGTCCCTCAGCAAGTAAATGGTGTAGCCAAGTTTTAATCCAGACATTTGCATTCAAGATCTTACAGTTTTCACCAGGGGCAGAAAAGCATCCTAAAGGCCTTGAAGTACGGATAGCTGAACTCACAAATATCCCTACCTTATTTAAGGAGCATTTAAATAAGGTTGGACATTTCCTTGGGAACCAAGGCTATGGAAAGCCATGACTGGCATTCTGGAGTTTAGACCTTATTCTACTTTTACTGGGTATGTACGTAAGGTTCTTGAGCAGAGAAAGAGCATAATCTAAGGACTGTCTTTGGAACACAGTTACCTGATTTCAGTGCATGGTATGGAACTGTCAAGGCAGGCAGCATACTGTACACATGTCATAAGGTATTGCTTTAGACCTGTGTGAAGAATAGAAGAGATGGCCTCTCTGAGAATAGTGAATGAGTTGACAATTATTTTATTAGATATTATAGTTAAGGTGTTAAGGAAGAACATAATTTGTGTTTTAAGTCTGGGTGACTAAACAAAATGGCCTTATATTAAGAGAACTAGGAAAGTCATGGTGTAATCAGTTTGGACAAAAGCTATTGAACTCACTTCTGGACATGTTAAACTTCAAGTAGGAAATTGGCTGTGTATGAAGTGTCTAGATCGGCATTCAAGAGTAAGGTTACAGCAAAAGTTGATGATTTGGGAGGTATTATGGAAGTTATTATAGTTAAATTCCTGGAGGATAATACAATTTATTGTTGTTGTTGTTATGTGCCTTCGGGTCAGCCCCGACTCATAGCTACCCCTTCTTGGGTTGCTGAGGCAGTATCACTACGGAAGTAGATTGCCCAACCTTCCTTCCGAGGAGTGGCTGGTGGGTTTGAACGACCAGCCTTCTGGTTAGCAGTCAAGTGCCTTAGGCTCTATGCTACCAGAGCTCCTATACAATTTATTATAGAAGGAGTATTGGCGTAGTGACACAGAAGACCACATTTGGAGTCTGAAATTACTCTTTCAGTATGTGAAAGGAGGATCAGCTAGAAACGGAGCAGGTTGAGAAGAAAAGAGGTGAAGCCAGATGCAAAAAGATCCATGTTATTCACACTTCTAAGTGCTCACTAACAGTTATTTGGAATATAATTTCTCTCATCATATATTCACATAATTATGTAGAAGAGTGCAGTCACTCTTATTAAATATTGTTGTTGTTGTTATATGCCGTCGAGTCAGCCCCGACTCATAGCGACCCCTCCTTGGGTTTCCGAGGCAGTATCACTACGGAA